TTAATTCTCATTAACACAAAATTAGATAATTTTAAAGTTATAAATTTGTCTTTCTTAAATAATATGAGATAGTCTAACAGTAATAATAAATGTTGACATTCCTTTACAGTAGTTGGGTATATTGCATAATTTTAAATTTTGACTCATAAAACAATGAGTTAATTATATATATATATATATATATATATATTGTAAAAAAAATCAATGAGCTAGGTATGGGGATGGGACAAGGAGTTAGATACCCAAAAATCGAACTTGCACCCATACTCGATTTCTCAAGTTGAGGAAAACCTATACCCTATCAATGGTTTTCCTTATCAAAAAATAAGTCGAGGTTAGATGGGTATCAATGGGTGCATGTTTAGTTATCATGCCTACTAAAACATGCAGTGAGTTGCTATGGGTAAAAAAAATTCTTGCAGGATCTTAATTTTATTCAAGATAAATATCTACTATTTGTGGATAGTCAAAGTGTTATTCATCTCGATAAGAATTTAACTTTTCATTCAAGATCCAAGCATATTGATGTGAGACATTATTGGATATGTAATGTTGTGGATGCTAAGTTGTTGAAGCTAACCAAAATTCAAATTAATGATAATGGTGCTGATATGATGTCTAAGGCGTTACCAAGAGGAAAGTTTGAAGCTTGTCATAAGATCATTGGTTTATCAGTCATCTCCACATAGTTATGAGGAGGAGATTTGTTGGGTTTTGAACTTCTTTCCTAAATGGAAAATAGACCCAAATGTGTAAGTTCATTATGTCTCACTAAGCAAGTGGAGAGTAGTCAAGTTAGAGTAGAGAGAGTGACTCATTTTTAGAGAAAACAACAACAAAATATAGAGAGAAGAGAAGAGAAGAGAGAGTTTCGTTGTTGAGTTTTATCAGGTAGCTATTTTCAATTTGAAAATAAAGATCCTTTCAATGTTGGATCAAATTGATTTTTTGATAGAAAGTTCATTGGACTTGATTCTTCATTTTCAACGATTGGATCATTGAATGAAGGTCTGAAGTGGGAGAAAAATGTCTCTAAGTAACAACTCTATTTTTTAGTTTTTTCATCTTATTGCTCACTTGTAAGCAAGCGTACTTGACATGATTATAAACACTATTTAATACGTTTTTTTAGAGACTTTCTTGTATCATTTGTTAATTATAGTGAAATTTTTCTTTAGTCTAGACAATTTGTATTTTTAACCTTACATACAGTTTTCTTAAAAATATTTGTATCTTTTATATGTTTGAATTATTTATTTTTGTTTTATTTTGTTCATGCTCCTCACTATTCTAGCAAGTAGAAAGATTTAATGTTCGCTGCCTTATTGCTCTTTTTCCATCACAGCTTTCGGCATATAGTGGCCTTTAGCTTCTTTTCCCCTCATTTACTCTATATTTTGACACAAGAAAAGTATACGATCCAATGAGCAAGATCACTTAGTTTGGTAAACACGCTTTTAATTATAGTAGCCAGCCTCCATGCCGGCATGGAGTTAGGGAGCCTTAACGACTTTCCAGCTGAATAAATCTGAACAAACAGTTATGCTTTTGCAAAAATATATATAAGAAAACGGAAGAATGGTATATGGTAGTGCATGTTTGACAAATATGATAACTGTTTTTGCAAAATCTGTGGGTGTCTCAACAGACGTATATGCCTACATGAATTATATTAAAGATAAATTAAGAGCTAGCTAGGTCGTATGCTCCTATTCAAATACTAATAAGGATAAAGATTCTTCCTCATGTTCAACACCTACTTAATCATAATTTAAATCATAACTTTCGTCAACAATATTATTTACATTCCTTATAAGTTTTAAAATATGGTTTTTCAACAAAGGTAGTAGTAGAATCAGGATAATCTTGATATCTGATTTACTTTCAGTAATTAGGATAATATTATAATTGTGATCTCTAGCTTTATGTTGGAATCAATAATTTTTGTCACAACTAGGAGTGTTTATGGATCAGTTTTTTGAAAAATCCGAACCGAACTAAATCTAACTGTTTTATAAAAGTGGATCGGTTAACCGATCTATTTTTTATAAAGTAGATCGTTTGGTTTTTTTAAAATATAGATTGGTTTTTTTGAAAATTGATCGATTCGGTGCAGTGCAGTTATCCACTTTTTACTTACATATGGATCGGTTTTTTTAAAAAAGCAAACCGATCCACTTTGTAAAAATGGATCAGATAACTGAACCGGTTTTATAAAATGATTCGGTTCAGATTTTTTTCAAAATAGATCGGATTTTTCAAAATGGATCGGATCAATTCAGATCAATTTGGATTTTTTCACACCCCTACCCACAACACAAAGGAATTATATATAATTTTGCTCATATATATGTAGTCCCAAATGCTTTTCCCATGGATGCATTGCATGTTAAATATGATCTTATTTGGTGTAGTTACTGACCTTTGAAATTGGATCAGCAATGACGAAACTGTTCCCTAAGTCCATAAATTCAACTTTTGGTCAAAACGTGGCAATCTAATTCAATCCCCATAAAAAAAAAATATATACGTTCTTTGTTTGGTGAGAACTAAGAATGACTTGGGTGGCAAAGAAAGGAAATAAGTTATACATGTTTATTATTTAGAGGCACCCAGCTGCTGGATGATTTGTGCTTTTGTTACATTTATCAAATCACACAAGCACTAATTACTCGGATTTGGACTTCTAGCAGAAAAATAACAAAGAAGTAGGAGGAAATGAAAAGTAAAGATTGCATAGCTGCGTAACAATACATTAAAAAAAAATAATCTTATATATTAAACACAAATTTCTACTTTTCATAAAAATCTGTTTAGAATTTTTCTTCAACTAGATGATTTTTATAAATTCTTTTTAATTTCTTATCTAATTTAATTTTTATTTTATCATAATTATTTATGAATTAAATTTTATTTTTTAAAATAAATAAAATAATATTGTAAT